ATACCCAGCTTGTAAGAAGGATCACGAATATCCCATGCGCTCACATGACCAGTTCAGAAAAAGTAGAGAAAGAAAAAAAAAAATATTAAAGCGCACAGAAGGAAAAAAAGAACAACACAACCAAACAAAACGAAAACACGTGCATGATATCCAAGTTATAAAAAGTGTATTACCAGAGATGCAGGGAGTGAGAACGCCGTCTCCAATGACCATGGAGGTTCCCAGCATGGTGGCGAAAAGCAGCACGTATTTCGCCGTCGAACTCTGCTCCAGCTTTGACTTCAGCACCGACGCCCTGCGCGAGGTCTTGCTGCTCGGCAGCTCCAGCTGGTAGTTCGACACCTCCCCGTCCTCCGCCTGCTGGCTCGGCGTCAGCCCCACCCTCGCGTATCGGCATATCAGCGAGTACAGCGCAAACGTCCCACCTGCGCGCGCGTGCATATATTATTCGTTGTCGTCGTGCTTTTAAAAGAAAACTTCAAAAAGTGAAAGGTGTTTTTTTTAAGAGAACTAATTAAAGTGACCAGAGGCGGAACCAGAATTTGAAATCGGGTAGATTTCGAGAACCATCTTATTTCTGGATTTTTAACATAATAACTCACAGTTGAATTCTCCACCCTCGAATGAAAAAAATTTATGAACAAACTATAAAAATGTGTTGTGTGTCATTCTAAGCACCAATAAAATTTTGTTTTTATTGTACGTCAGAACCAAGCTCAAACTATTGAAAAATAAATTTTTTTTAGAAATGAAATGATTTTTTTTTTTTTTTAGAAATGATATTGAAAAATAAATTTAAAAACATGTTGTTTGGCATTTCTTTTTGATTGGATTTTTATGAGGAAATTTTATCCACGATTCCCAACAAGAGAAAACGTAAAGAGTAGTGTCGTGTTGTTATTAGTGCTGAGAGAAAGAAAGAGAGAGAGAGAGAGAGCTCTTTCCAAAACAGCAATATCTGACTTGGAATTTTGCTGACTTCATTTACGTTAACTATCAACTCCTTGACCCGGCCCGATCCAGCACCTGCCTAATTACTCAGCTCCGTCATTCTTTTTTATTCCCAACGGCGATATTTCATCGGAACTTCGATTCTAGGCTCTAACATGCGTCAAAGTTTTCGGTTTCTTAAGTGCTTTAACTATTAGGCAAGAAACCAAAAACCAGTCCCATTGACTTTATTCACGTACGTTGAAGAGAGATACTTCCAGTACCCTAAAACGTAATAACAACCCTTAACTGCATACTCTGCACCCAATTTTAATATTAGTTTTACGATTTTGAATTTTGATAGGTAGCATCAGTTTAATAGGATGATTTAACATATCATCACAAATAACCCGTGTATTATCCTAAACTTTAAATTCTGAACATAAATTCTAAATCATTAAACTCTGGACGCTTCACATTAACTAAATCGTATACTCAAATTGATAATTATGAGGTGAATGCATAACATGTATAATAATAAATGACTATATATATATATGGTTTTATCGCACCTTAAATAAAATAAGATCTAAAATTTGAATTAATCGAGTTTGAGAAATGGTATTGTACTCATAATTAAAATTCTAGGTTATAAGTGTCACTTTTGCTCTTTGAAGTCGAGATAGATGCATGAACAAAAGGACTTCCATTATATTATTCGAGCTATCTAGCCTACGAGGCTTCATTGATTAGAGCGTCACCCATCGCAACTAAATTAAACAAATGGATTAGCCTTTTCATTTCCCCCAACACTTGCTTTCACGTGCTTACCAGCTTATCAAGCCAAATCCGAGGTTGTCTTTTTACTCATTTTCTTTAACAACTCTAGACCGGGAGACTCCAATACAAATATTATTAATTTTTTTCTTAACAATAAATTTTTTGATTCGTTCATCGTCTTCCCCGGCCGATTGATTCGGATCTAATGACATTAATTAAGGAATTAATTGTAATTAATTTTAATTTACTCGCCAAAATAGCATATATTTCATTGTATAATACTATAATTGTATCCGCCTAACTTAATTAGTCCCGACCCTCCAACAAATTATTCTTTCCCGTTCCCACAAATCAAATCAGCTTTTTTTCGTGACAAACTGCCAGCCCGGTGGAGGAAAAATATTGTTTTCCGTTTTGGACTGTAGTCGTAAGAGGGAACAAATGAGGAGAAGGAGCACCTGTGAACTGTCCACCAAACAGAAGGAAGAAAGAAAGAAAGAAAAAGAGAAACAGACGAAAATGGCTTTCTTTCGAGACAGTAGCGCAGACTTAAACACAAATTGAAACTGTTTTACTGTTAAGCTCCACCTTTAATTCTCCAGATTTACACGCAACCCGCACAGTCTCTTCTTAGTTCTTCCCCCAACTTAATTATTCCGCGTCAAAACCTAATCGTGTCTTTTTTTCATCGAAAGTCCGGTTGCATAGATTATCCGTAAAAAAAAAAAATCCGGGTTGGATGACTCACCGTCGCCGTTGTCGTTGGCGCGCAAAACGATGAAGACGTACTTGAGGAGAGGGATCAAGGTGAGCGTGTAAATGATGAGCGACAGGACGCCCAAAACGTCGTCGTCGTGGTTGATGCCGTTGGTGAACGTGCTGGCGTAGACGTACAGCGGCGAGGTGCCGATGTCGCCGTAGACGACGCCGATGCTCTGGAACGCCAGCTGGAGGATCACCGCCCAGCTCGCTTCCTGCGGCGGCGGCGGCGGGCCCCACCACTTAACTGATCAGTATGCTCTTAATACTAATTACTAATAATAAATTAATTAAATAAATAAATAATTAAGTAACGGACCCTGGAGCCGAGGTGGTGGTCCCGACCGTTGAACTGGCCGGACTCGACCTCCAAGGAGTCGTACCGCCGTAGCTTTCTGATGGACAGCTTCCTGCCGTTGAGCTGCTGCTGTTGTTGTTGCGGTGGTTCTGGGTCAGGGGAGATCTGGTCATCATCTTGGCGGCTTTCCTCGTCGTCGTCGTAGTTGGTCGGAGGAGGAGGAGGAGAGGAGATTATACGATCGCTGCTAGACATGCTTGGTCGGCGGGAAACCTATTTGGTTATGCAGAGACAGAGTAGAAACCGTAGGAGATATATATATATATATATATATATAGCGAGAGGCCGAAGGGTGGGAGGGGAAATGATGGAAGTGGCCGGGGGAGGGGTTATTCGTTGGTGACACGAGTGGGTCGGTAGGTGAGAGATGGAGTGGCTCGAAGCTTCGTATCCTCGGATGTGAAATCAAATCAATATCATATTATTCATATACCTTTGAGAGGGGCTAGGACCGGTTAGATTGGGGGCTCGGACCGGTTGGGTCCGTCCTCGCCTCTTTGTATGATCACGTTTCTATCAATAATTTGCGTCAATACCTGCATGTATTTATCTTCGTTTGACCGTTCTATAATATCATATTTTCATCCCATATATAAATTTTAAAACTCTATCTTTCAACTATTTAGGCTTAACTATTCCTTCTACTGTCTGTACTATATATAGAGATGTAATGTTGTGTTGTGGAGATGAAAAGTATTTTGTATTCGAATTTTGGGACTAGATACTATAACAACACCCTTTGTGTTGTTATTGTAACAACACTAGCCTCCAACCAATAGAAAGCTAGGATTATGATGACTTTTTATTAGATGAGTTGACCTAGTGTAAAATCAAAGCAGGGGTATAATTGTCATTATGAAAAATATGTTTATAAAAAAAATAAAAAAATAAAAAAAATATTTTGTTATTTTCGGAACAAAATTTTGGTCGCTGGAATTCGGCCACCGGAATCTGGTCGCCGGTCACCGGAATATGCTTTTTTGTCGCCGGAATATGCTATTTTGTCATCGGAATATGCCACCGTCGTCGGAATATGCTCACCGTGGTCGGAATATGCTTATCGGCGTCGGAATCTAGTCATCGGGGCCGGAATATGCTTATCGGTGCCGGAATCTACTCACTGACGGTCATCGGAGTTTGGTCAACGGGTCTTCGTTGACCGGTCAACGGTCAACGACCACCGGATGTTATGGTCTGCATTGTGAGATTTATGGTTTGGTTTCTCATATTTTTGTATGCCTTTTGTGGTTTGTTTTATCGTGTTTGTGGTTTGCATTAAGAAGTTTCTGGTTTATTTTATCGTGTTTGTGGTTTGCATTGAGAAGTTTCTGGTTTGCTTTAAAAAAATTTATAGTTTGCTTTGCGGGGTTTCTGGTTTGTTTTAATAGATTTTTGGTATGCATTAGGACGTTTCTGGTTTGTTTTTGTGGTTTGCTTTATCGTGTTTGTGGTTTGCATTATGAGGTTTCTGGTGTGTTTTTTAAAATTCTGTGGTTTGTTTTGCGGGGTTTCTGGTTTGTTTTAGTAGATTTTTTGTCTGTATTAGGACGTTTCTGGTTTGTTTTTGTGGTTTGCTTTATCGTGTTTGTGGTTTGGGTTATGAGGTTTCTGGTGTGCTTTTGCAAATGTTGTGGTTTGCTTTGTGAGGTTTGTGGTTTGTTTTAGGAGATTTGTGGTATGCATTAGGAGGTTTTTGGTTTGCTTTTTATGATTTGCTTTACGGTGTTTGTGGTTTGGATTATGAGATTTCTGGTGTGATTATGAAATATTTGTACTTTGCTTTGTGAAGTTTCTGGTTTATTTTAGGTGATTTATGGTATGCATTGGAAGGTTTCTGGTGTGCTTTTTTTACCGTGTTTGTGGACTATATTGGAAAGTTTATGGTTTGCTTATGAATTCCTGCTTTATCCCTGCATCTACTTCGAAATTCGGTCTCCCTTACCTTCGTCGCACCGTCGGAGAAATTGATTCACAAAGCTTATTGAATGTCAATTTCTTGATTCTGCCGTCTAAATGGAACTAAAAAAACGTCTACAATCAAAATCCTTCAATGAAACTCCCTTCCCGGTAAACAGAGAGCTCTGATTATTCTCAAATTGAAAAGCATAGATCCAATCCTACCCATTCAACTCTCAGCCGACCACTTGACCAAGAACTTGCCCTGCTCCCACACTTCAGCAGTGGTGGTTTTGCCCTTCGACAATAAAGCAGCCGCAAGTTCCTGAAGATCCTTTAGAGAAGGTTCCTTTGAACTGCATATCCAGCGACGAGCACGTCAGTATGAATTGGGGGGGGGGGGGGGGAAGCAGTACACAAGGACAGGGGTAACCATACAAACCTTGACATTCTCTGAAGTAAACTTCTGACAATGATTTCTGAAGACCCCGGCTTTATGCGCTCCATATTCACAAGGGAGTTTATAGCAGCATTCACTGCTGATCCTTCTAAACCGTTTGCAGCTGCCTACAGTACAAGCATCGGGTTATAAGAAGGAAAATTGACGTGCTAAATACTCAGAATTGAAGAGTGGGTAACTCAGTTGTTGTACATGTCGCAAATTCCATTCTCAAACTTAAGGCCCTCCCCTCTCGCACTCTTTTTCACAAGAACTCAGCTTCGTGAAACCCTTTTAACTTCTCAATCTATCTCTATCTACGCATTCCATTTGTCCCACATTCCACCACCTCAACTACGGCCCTCAATAAGCTGCTCCTCACACCACCAATTTTGGGACGCTAAATGTCCATTATAAGTACCAAAATCTCATAATATCAAATAATTCACTGCTGCAAATTCTCATATAAACTCTCGATCATTAAGGTTGGAAAGAATCCAGATCCCATTTAAATTCTCTTCTGTGCCATTTTCTTCCTTTCTGTTCTTTCTATACTTTAGCTTTCATTCTGATGGGGATGTAGAGCCAAGCTGTTTTTTAGAACAGGGACCCACAAGATAATCTGCCGTTCCCTCTCTATGGCAAATTTGCTATTCTTGAAATTTGAAGTAGTTCTAATATAGACAGTAAAACTGGAAGAACCCAATAGCAAGAAAGCATGGATGTAAAAAAGGAGTTCATTACCTCTTTCAAAGATGGGATAAGTAAAATAGAGGAAGCGACTCTGATCTGCGAGAGCATCGCCATGAGAGTTTTCCCAAAGGAATCAGATCCCAAAGCGCACTACGCGTACCGCGTGAGGGATCGGCTGAGGAAGCAGGTTCCAGCGATTCCACATGCAACCACTCCTTCGTCGACATCGCTCTTATAGCTCCGATCCTTGCTCGCCTCGGCTACAACAAGCTAGTCATGGCGGTTCTAATCCCTTCTCCAACTTCACCGACACGCATATTGATAGCGATTGCCGGCGAGGGATTGTGGCTGCTGCTGTTGCTGGTGGTCGCGAAGCCGTCGACGGAGAAAAGAATGCCGGAGGGTCCAGAATAGGGGAGGCGGAATCGGAGGATAGGGTAAAGCGGAGAAGGGGAAACGGATGATATATTTATTGAATTTTATTATATTAGCAATTGTGTGTAATTACCCCTCTACCCTGTTGTTACTATAACAACATTTAGGGTGTTGTTATTCTATCCGGACCCTCGAATTTTGCGTTGAATAGAATATAGAAAAGATAGCTTTTAGTTTACAAAAATACAAATTAATTTCACACGGTACATGCTATAAGTTTTCACTATGTCGGGTGAATTAATTTAGCCTTTACAACATTAGTTTACACCTCTCATTATAAAATATTAAAAAACAAATATCATGAAACTAAAGGTAAAACAAAATATTGTTAGTCTAATGTAGTTATAGTGGATTTTCTGGATTAATTGTTGTAGTTAGTAGTAGATCAAACAGAAGTTTGGTTTGTCCAGTGAGGTTTTTGTGGGTTAGTCTCTGGGGTTAGTGATTAACCACTAAATATAAAAGTTATTATTTTACTAATCACACCCAACCCACTACCCACAACTTGTGAGTTTGGTTAAGCACAATATGTGCGGGTTGGTACGATTTGCGGATTACCCACAAATCGCAAACCAAACTTCCACCTTTAATAGTGTTAGCATTTTGTCCTGTGTTGAGAAAGTGGTAACAAATTTCGGGCTAGTGGATTGTTTGGGAATCACCTTCCCCGTGGTAGTTTTTTTTTTAAGAAATTTTTTTTGCCTAGTTTGAGTTATTTTTAAAGATTATTAATTCTCGTTTACAAAAGGATCTTTTTTCGTTGAATAATTTTTTTTTTTATCTTACCACCATTTTAACTCAACAGTTTTATGTGTGGCGAAATTAACTCAACAATTTCAATAAAGCCAAAAATGACAACCGATTCCAACACCACAGTCGAAAGGAATTCCAGCTCAGTGCTAATTAACATCGCCTCCTTTGGATTATAGAACAAAAAGAAGAATACGGCCGGCAATAAAAAACAAAACATATCTGGTTTAAAGTTGCATGGAAAGCACCACCGCTCAGGAATGTATGGAAGAGTTAGAAAATCTACAAATATATTACAGATGAGTGAGAAGTTTTTCAATATTTTAAAATTTTCGCAACGAGAGCGAAAGTAGGAAGGATAACTGTGTTTTCACAATCATTATTTATTTTTTATTTATAAGAAAAAAATATATCAATCTCGAGATTCTAACCATGGTCTTTCCAAACTAAGACAATAACCATTACCACTTACGCTAAAGAAATCTTTTGTATCTTTTTTAGTAAAAAATCTGAAAAACTGAAATCTAAAATCATACGACTTTTCTATTACTGTTAGCTAGCCCACTAACTTTCCCGTAAGTACTTTCTTTGTTATTTGATATTTTAATTTTCATATTTTGATTATTTTAATTTGAGTTTAATAATAAATTTAATTTATGTCTATCTTATAAATGGATGGTAATTTTAAAATTGAAACCCAAATATCATTGATTCGAATATTACATATTGAATTGCAGTATTGAATGTGTAGATCACTCTCTTGATAATATCACATGATTGGACAAATGAGTGAGTTTAAAAGAACACAATTTCTGAATACCAATTTTTCTAGATGATTTCAATTATTTAAATATTTTATCTGATATGATAATTGACCATATGTATCATTTATAGTTAATTAGTTTAATATAAAATAACCGCAATACAAGACAAATCAGGAAAGTCGAGCTGGAGTTTTCATGGATGCATTGATGTGGTCGTGTGTATTAGCAAGGTAAGTAGGGATGGCAATGGGTCGGGTTGGGTCGGGTTTTGCCGAACCCAAACCCAAACCCATGGGTTTATCCGTGAGGAACCCGGGGTAAAACCCACTAGGTTTGAAAAACTCAAAACCAACCCAACTCGCTGGGTATCCGAGGGTTCATGGGTACCCATGAGTTTTTTTCGTAAAAAATTTACAATAACAAGTTCCTATCAAAATAAAAGTCAAATATCAATCTCTCAATACAAATTATCCATATATAAAACACCATTCTAGAAAATTCAAGCAAATCACAAATTAACCATACAAATTGTTCAACACCAATCTAGAAAACTCTAGAAAATTGAAGCAAATCCCAAAGTATCCATAAACAAAATGATTAATTGAAAGCTTCTTCCTCGTTATCAATTAAAATTCTTCACTCTCCACTCGATAATATCAACTTCATTCTACACAATTAGAAAGAAAATTAGACATGTCTTCATAAACATAAAGAAGATTAGTTGTTTAGAATATTAAATATATCGGGAAAATTAATTATATGGATGTTGGCGGGTACCCATGGGGTGGGTTTACCTAAACTCAAACCCAACCCAACCCGGTGAATATTAAAGGGATTTAAACCCAAATCCAGCCCAAAACCCGTCAACACGGGTTTTACCTGCGTTGACCGGTTGGGTCGGGTAGGGTATCCGTGGGTTCGGGTTAAGTTGTCATTCCTAAAGGTAGGTACCACAAGATAGGTTTAACTTTTTTGTTGAGTGAATAAGATTGGACTTCAACTAAATTTAGAGTATGTTCGTTGATAAATAATTTTTTCATTGCAGAGTATGGATAGAAAATGTTATTTTCTTACTAATTTTGATATTGTATTATGCAGAATATTTTAATGTTTAGATACTATTATATAGGTATTGTTTCTCAAGCATAAGAAATAAATATTGAGTAAAGGTTATGATCACGAGTTTTCTATTTATGCTACGCTTTTTTAGACAAACACTTTTTTTGTTATGTCAATTTTCTTTTCAGAGTGACTACATCATTAAATTGACAAGTTATGAATAGTTATTCATGAGTGTTATAACCAAGGTTGTTACACCTCTATTGGGTGGTTGGTTGGACTAGGTCCGACCAAAGTCGTGTTCCAAAACCGGCTCTACAAAACCAAGTGTCTGATCGCTAGCGAGGGAGAAGAATAGAGAGGGAAGGGGGAGGGGGAGAGAGGCAAGAGGATGGTGGGTGGATCTTGAAATAAGTATGTTTTCTTATGGAATTAGAGTTTTTAATAGATATAAGTTATTACATTCCATTTCAGTCACTAAATTTCTATCTTATATATAAATATATTTAGAAAAGGTGTAAAACGGCTCAAACAGGTTGGACCTCAATCAAACCATTAAACTTCAAAGGCAAAATACACCTGTATAGCCATAACTTTCACGTTTATGACAAATATAGCCATATCTATTTGAAAACACGAAATAGCCCAAAAAACGGAGGGTAGTGTGACAAATCTAGCCAAATCTGTTAGAAACTTTTACACCGTTTGTGACTCCGTTAAATCATTTGACGGAATGCTGACGAGGACGGAATCCGACCTCCACATCAGCGACACATCAGCAAACAGTCATCATATCATTGCCACGTCATTTGAGTAATATAAATAAATAATTTTTAAATTAAAAAATACAAAAAATTAATTTTCTACTTTTTCTTGTTCAATGCACATTGAATCTCCCTCGTCGCGGCGGCGGGTCTCCGGGATTTCAAGGGCGATGACAGGGGATTTGTCGGGGATTCAAAGCAACACCCAAGATTCAGATTGAGTACGATTCAAAACAAGAAACCATAAATAGAAGAAATCGTTGGATGAATTGAGAGGAAAAATCGTTGGCCAGAAGTTGTGCGCGGATGCTCCTGGTGACAGGGCGAGCGATCTGCTTCTTGGGGATTTCAGGGGCGACGCCAGCTGCCAGATTCCTGATGTCGCCTAGAGCTCACCGGCTCTTGTTCTCCCTTCCGGCGGCCATTGTTTTCTTTTGCAGTTCTAGATGCTTGTTCAAATCCTATGTTCCTAGAACACCCAAGGTAATAAAGCACAGCTGATAGAATTCTCCAGGAATACCACTCGTATATGCTCTTAGAGCAGAGCTCGACATAGTTAGGAACCAAGTCAACCATTTGATCTAAGACCAGAAGTCAAGCCGCCACGAGATCATCAACCTCATCAATCGCTGTGAGGAAGAAAAGCTAGCTAGCATGGTTGTCACGCCGGCCGGCGTGCCACCGGTTGTACCGGGTTCAACCGGTAGCGGTCATAAAACCGGCGTGACACCACCGGTATGACCGGCGTGATCGATATACGAATCTCTAAGTAAAATGACCTTATTTTAGAGAATTTAATTGATAAAAATTATTTTATTATTTATTTTATGAGTATAAAAGTTAAATATTGATGTTATTTGTTGGATTCAAGTATAAATGTTTAGGTATTGACGTTAAATGTCATGTTTAAATATGAGTATTTATAATTTTATTTGTAATATTGACCGGCATGAACCGGCACAAACCGGTATGTGCCACCGGTTGAACCATTCCACTTGCTAAACCGGCACACTGGCATAAACCGGTTTGACAACCTTGCTAGCTAGAGAAGCAATGAACGAAGGTAAAGAGGAAACCCCCCTTTACTTTTGAAACATAATCTGCATCGGCCAGCAACACCACCTCAAGTTGAATCCTCCTTTACTTTTTGTTGCTGTTTCCCATCCTCTTCTTCCTCCTCCTCCTCCGCCCAGCTCGGCGACCGCGTCATCGACCGCCACAATCCCATCATCAGAGACCTCGAAGAGCACCTCGAGTCCTTCCGAACCCGCCTTGTACTGCTTCCCACCATGGATTATTAAAGAA